CGTCACCGTGTCAGACATAGGGGCCTGCTTGTCCTCAACAGTATGGCCTGCGAGCCGCCATTTACATGAACAATCCGAGACCCAACCCCCACCTCTTTCCGCATCATTCCCCCTCCCACACCCTGTCCCCACATTGCAATGCAAGCATGCAGATTTCCCCCCAAGACAGTCCAGATGTCTCCACGTTAGTCTGGGAAAGTCGTGAATCGTCTGTGGGACTGCGATGGTTCTTGCACTCAACTCTCAGCGTCTCAGAATGGGCACACGCAGTCCTCGTTTGTTTACGAGGGTGACGTCACTGGCATGAGCTCTAGTACTGTTTTATAGCATAACATCTCTGACTTTTTTACAACCACGGTTGGATCTAAATACCCCCCCCCCCCAAACTCTTCCCGTTTCGCTTTTTCCCACAGTATATTATGGTTTACGCAATGTTGGCGTGTGTCACTTGATGAAGCTTCTTCTACTCTTGTTTTGCTACTTTCCTTCCTCTTCCTAATATGAGTGAGTTGAGGATTTTTAATGTTTCACCTCATTGAATTTCAGGTTATTTCTGAAATCAAATCTCTTTATCGATGTAGAAAAGACAATCAAACTAAGCTTTACAAGTATGGAATTTCTTATCCTCTTTTAGCGCCCTTTTTAGAGGTTTGTTTTTGTCTCTCTTGTTTTGTGTGTGCTTTAGCTGGCTCTGATAGGATGTGTGACGTATATTATTTTATATTTTATTCTTTCTTTTTTGTTGTTAAAAGCTGTTCTTTGTTTAATTTTAACAAAATTTGTTTGCTATCATATTTGAGACAAAACGTGAACTTTTATTGTTTGTTTTTTTTTCTTCCGTTCCTTTACGGGAACGTCATGTAAGTGAACAAAACAAAAAACAACGTTGTTACTTTCTCCTCTTGTAAAACGCACGGCAACTAAAGTCACTGGAGTTCCTATTGAATATAATAATAATAATAGTAATAATAATACAATAATGATAATGATAATGATAATAATAATAATAATAATGATAATAATAATAATAATAATAATGATAATAATAATAATAATAATAATAATAATAATAATAATAATAATAATAATAATAATAATAATAATAATAATAATAATAATATTTGTGGAGCGCATTTCCAAAAAAAGTAGCTCAATGCGCTTAACATTGGAACACCCATTTTCAAAAGCGTTCTTACTACTTCCTTTCTTGTCTTCCAATATATATACATGTATATATTTATACACACACACACACACACACACACACACACACACACACACACACACGCGCGCGCGCGCGCGCGCGCGCGCACACGAACTATTTTCATTCAGGCGTAGACACAGAACAACTATAATAAAAATAACGCTAAAAGTGAAAGCTTATGAAGGACTGGCATGTAAGAACAGAAAATTCTTAAACCACTAGTTGAACGAAACTCCAACCTTCTACTAATTACTGTGTATTTCGCTCAAGAAAATGTGACTGTGTCGTGGGATCTGCCTGCAAACTAGAACAACATGACACATTTTTTTCCTTCTAGAAATATTAATAAACGATTTGGCAGCCAAACCTCAGCGTAATCTGGACAAAATCGGATAGAGTGCCAGCCAGCCCGTCAGAAAGTCTGTGTACGTCATGAATCTGCCGCCCTCTATTGAATCAACCAAATGTGAGGCAGCGTGGTGAAATCAGGCGCTTGTCAAAGTACAGAAATGGGAGAAACGAGCATCTTTCCGCCAATCTGAAAATTGTTAATATTTTTTATATATTTTTGGCTCAACCTATTTTATGTCCATATAAAAACACATTGACATTTGAATTTTACGGAAAAACGTTGATTAAAGACAAAATATGTCTTATTTTGGGTTGTTTTCAAGGACGTTTTAGCAACTGGAGTTACCAAACTGTGGCTGTCATTTTATCGCTAATTTCACCACTGAATCCAGCCGACCTCACTTCCTTCAATCGCAAAATATTTTGAGTTCTATTCAAGATAGATGGATATGTATTTCATTGGAAGCAAGGCAAATACATTTACCTTTCAGTTGTTACCAATAACTCCACATGCCCAAAAAAAAAATTAATAAATAAAAATTCACGAGCGCCTGATTCCACCGCGTCGCGACACAAATAAACCAGGTCATTGCACACAGGAAATAAAACTGTGAGCGTTACGTCACGCCATGTCCGGAGTCAGCTGATGAGTAAATACGGAAGTGAAGGGATCTATAATGCATGGCCAGGCCGGCCCAAACGGCCGCGCTTCTGTTGGCAATTGCGCCGTTATTGTGTCAGCTGTTTGGGAGCGACACAGAGGACGAGCCTGTGAGGTGTTTTGTGTTGTGTGTTTGGCGGGGATTTATTATTTGTCCTGTGTCTGGTCAGATAGCTCTTTTGATAGATAGAAAGTGAGCTCATCAGCACCCCTCCTCCTCCCCCCCCCCCCTTGACTCCGTTCTTTTTCTTAAATTGTTTACAGACTTTTTTACAAAATCCAAGTTAGGTGTTTTTGTGTGTAATTATTCGGTAATTTGGGGTGGAGGGATTTGGGGTGG